CTGTTCTGGACATCTGGAGTTTTATTGATTGGAGACTCTGTAATCTGTAACAGTAAAGAGGTGAAGGAGAGACCCTTCTGAGTCTGTGTTTTTTCCAGATGTATTAGTCTGTCTTTCCTATCGACCAGGAGGATAAGTCTGGTATTGGCTTCATTTCTGCAAAGTCCTCTTGTTACCTGAGGAAACCCAAACAGGTTATAGATCATGTTCAACGGAGATGTGAATTGCCACAAACAGTTGCAAATATCTGAAAAATGAACTCACTGGCTCAAATATATGGGTCTGCTGGCTTTTCCCTCTCCCCTCCTTGTGTATTGCACATGCCCTTCCTTTTATTTATCACTTAAAATAAATTTTGGCCTGGTTCGCCTGTCACACTGAGCAAAACCATGACTTAGCACAAACATTCCTTGGTTGTTTCATTGCAGCACCAAGCTGAGCTAAGCTATAGTTTGGCATGGCATGTTGTCTGAACCTGGGCTTATGGTTTAGCTCTCCATGCTTAACCCCCACACTTGCATGCTTGCAGTAAACCATAGTTTGGCTTAGCCATAATATCCAGACCTTTGTTTAGTTGTCAGATATCTGGGAAAAGTCTGTGAAAAGCCTGAATGCAATCAAACAAGGGAAGCAAAAGCATTCTGAAGAACGACGATCTTTAAGGATGTTACAGTGGTACCTCGGGTTAAGTACTTAATTCATTCTGGAGGTCCGTTCTTAACCTGAAACTGATCTTAACCTGAAGCACCACTTTAGCTAATGGGGCCTCCCGCTGCTGCCGCGCCGCCGGAGCACGATTTCTGTTCTCATCCTGAAGCAAAGTTCTTAACCCGAGGTACTATTTCTGGGTTAGCGGAGTCTGTAACCTGAAGCGTATGTAACCTGAAGCGTATGTAACCCGAGGTACCACTGTATTTATTTTTTTGTTGCATTTATATGCCACCTTTCCTCCAAGGAGGTCAAGGCAGAATACATGGTTTCCCCCCTCCTCATTCAATCCCCACATCAACCCTGCAAGGCAGGTTAGGCTAAGAGGTAGTGACAGGTCCAAAATCACTCTGTGAGCTTCATGGCCCAGTGTGGGTTTGAACCCTGGTCTCCCAGGTCCCAGTCTGACACACTAGCCACTGCACCACACTGGCTTTTCATGGAGGATAAGGCTACCTGTGGCTACTAACTCTCATGGTGATGTTCTGCCTCCAGTGCCAGAGGCACTATGCTTCTGGATACCAGTTGCTGGAAATCACAGGAGAGGAGAGTGCCGTTTCCCTCAAGTCCCACTTGCAGGCTTCCCATAGGCATCTGGTTGGCCACTGTGAGAAGAAGATGCAGGACTAGATGGTCCATTGGCCTGATCCTGTGGGGCTCTTCTTATGGTCTTATCTCTACTGGATGGGTCTGATGTGAGTTGTAGACCAAACAATTAATGGACACTAGATTAGGGAAGGATGATATAGAATAGTTAGCTCACTCATCGTTGCTGCCCCTACAGTTGTGGTCCTGAGGTTTAGAAATTGTGGCCAGCTTCAAACCATGTTTTTGAAAAGCCAACTTTCCGTCATGTATAGCTTTAGGGTGGTCTTTGGTACCCGCCCTCCTCAAGAGGAGACCCACTGAAGTCAATGGACATGGCAAACTTAGGTTTGTTCATTTCAGTAGGTCACCTCTTGAGTTGCAATTAGTTCATTTCCACCCTAAGGTTTGTAGAGAGAGGGGGAAGTCTTTTTCTAACTTAAAGGATCATGTTGCTTGCCATAACAGCTCTCAATATTTAGACATTTTTTTGGTTTTGATCTAATGCTGAACAGTATAATTTAAAATTCTCAATTCAGAACCCTCTATTCCTTTTATTAGTATTCCTTACATTTGGGTGACTAGTTTATTGTTGCTATGGTGACCGGAAGTGCTTAGGAATTATTGGTTTTCTTTGTAATGCTGTGTGGTGCTTGTTTGCTTATATCTCTAGATATTAAAAAAGGGGGGGGTGGTCATTCAATGGATTTCCTGCTAAGCTGGGATGTGATTTTTTTGTTGCCCAAGAAAAAAGGAAATTTAATGTAAGAAGAGAGAGACTGGGAAGAATTTCAGCTTGCCAGATGGAATGCTCCCCTTCTCCTCTCCCTGCATGCTGTTCTGGGAGGGGGGAGGTCCTCTGATCTCTGCCAGAGCCAATTTGGGGTGCATGCAGGGGGGTGAGAGGGGGAGAAATCCCCATTGTGCTAGTGCAAGTCCTTTAATCCAGCCCATTGGGCTGTTTCCAATGTTAGTCCTACTCAGAGGACACCCACTGAAATTAATGGGTGTGACTAATTCAGGTCCACTAAATTCTCTGGGTCTATTCTGGGTAGAGTTTTGCTGGAATCACCCCTGGGGCTCCAGTCCTTGTTTGGCCTTGTAGCTCCTTATGTGTCTCCCTCGCCCAAGGTTTCTCCCTTGGCCTTGCCCTTACATTTCAAGCTCACCGGGAGGGATAAAACAGTGTGTGAGAACAGGGAACACAGTGTGCAACATCCTAAACTTCTTGAAGGAAGGGTGAACAGGACAAAAATAAGACACACGCTGCTAATCCCATTTCCATCAATAGAACCTTTTAATTTGAGATGTCATGTATACCTAACAGTACTTGGAGGCATTCGACAAAGCAGTCTGTCTGTGCCTGTGAATATCTTGACAAGTATCTAAAACAGGTCCTTCTCCTATCACAAACCACCAGGCATAGATCCCCTTCTTCCATGGCACTTCCAAGATTATGATGAATAGGCAACTGATGAATGTCCAGGGACTTGAGAGAACAGGATGCAGGACTTGGTGGAATTTGTTCTGGCAGGGCGACATGATGCTCCCTAGCTTTTGTTCAGCTCCTATCATGTCCAGCTAGCATGGCCAGTGGTCATAAGTTATGGAAGTCAGATTTCAACAACTGGAAGGCACCACGTTGGCTATTCCTGAGTTACACATTTTTGGTGCTCACTAGGGTGTTAGTGTGAAGATCTCACAATGTTCCAGGAGGTGGGCGGAGAACTGAGAACTTGCTGTGTTTTGTTTATTTTGTTGTCTTGAAACTGAGAGCGCGAGGACTAGAAGGGGCAATTTGCAGGAAATTGATCTTTCTGTTTCCACTTAACAAGCAAGAGGTTGCTCTGAAAGGGTCTGCTTTTACACGGGCTTTGAGGAAATCACAACACATTCTTTATTGTATATTGCATTGCGTGGTTGTGGCTCTTATTTGTTTCATTTAATGTAGATTTATGTCAGGTTTGTTATGGCCTGTGGTTGAACAAATAAACTTCTAAAAATGTTATATAATAGCAAATAGTAAAAAAAAATTGTTTTATGTCTCCAGGGCTCTTTTGCTGAAAGGAAACTTAAGTCTGGGAGGCAGCTGGGAAGGTGTGATAGGTTTCATTTAACAGTACCATACTGGTACTGGTCACTTTGCCCTGCTTCAAAAAAATTATCTTAAACTACTGGGAAGATATCAGTTAGTTGGCATAATCTTGTTGCATGTAGTTAACATTATTTGCACATCACGTTAGTTAATAAGACCACACCTACATGCAGTTGTTTGCCACGTTGCATTTATTTTACTGGTAACTTTGTGAGTGATCTCCAGGGCAAAATACCGTATTCTTTGCTCTATAAGACTCACTTTTTCCCTCCTAAAAAGTAAAGGGAAATGTGTGTGCGTCTTATGGAGCGAATGCAGGCTGCGCAGCTATCCCAGAAGCCAGAATAGCAAGAGGGATTTCTGCTTTCACTGCGCAGCGATCCCTCTTGCTGTTCTGGCTTCTGAGATTCAGAATATTTTTTTTCTTGTTTTCCTCCTCCAAAAACTAGGTGCGTCTTGTGGTCTGGTGCGTCTTATAGAGCGAAAAATACGGTACCTCAAGTAAGTCTCAGAAATCTTACAGCTGAAATATATTTTTTAAGTGGAATCCATTTCTGACGCCCCCCCCCCCAGCCTCCTTTTCAGTCACACTTCTGCAAAACAGACAGGCTGTTGTGTAATTAATCAGTTGCCCAGTTAAATCTGCATATAAATTAAGCTGACGATGGGGAACCAGATATCGATGGAATGCTGCTCCCATCATTCCTGACCATTGGCCATGTTGGCTAGGGCTGATAGGAGTTTTGGGAGCCTGATGAACATCTGGAGGGCACCATGTTGACTACCCCTGATATCTCCATCAGTTTGTGTTGGGGCAAGGGGTACTGCTAGTGGGTGGGCGAAATCCTATGCACCCCAAGGGATCATCATGCCCTAAGGTCCACGTCACATGGTGGTTCACTGCAGCAACAGCTGTTTTCCCAGAACCAGGCCTTAATTTGTGAGGGACAGTTGTGGTTTTTAATCCCCTAGGGCATCCATTTCAAATATTTGCAGAAGTGTTTGCAAGCAATGCTGGCTCAAAAACCTTGACCATTTTTAAACTGGACATGGAGCTGTTTGTTCATCCCTACCAGTTACCTTGGCTGCTCATCACCCTTCCTAAAGAGATCTGTATACATTCTGGGTCTTTGCTAGACTCTCCTGCCTATTTCTCCTATTCTCCAGTTTGTAAGTTATTCCCCTCCCCACTTTCCAGTCTCTGCTGAGTCCAAGCTGATTTTAGCTGTGCTCAGCCATTTCAGCTGATTAGCTGCGTTTCCCCTCCTCCCTTGTTTTTGCTTCTTCTTTCCCCAAAGCCCACAGAACCACACATAGCTTTGTGGAATGTGCTGCTCTGCCTTGCCGATCTCGTTGAGTTTTATAACCTAAAGGGAAACACAAAACCCCTTTCTTTCGGACCTTGCAAGCATTGCTTCGTCAAGCTGCTAGCTGGGTACAACACTTTCTTTGTTTCTCTTTTATTTCTTAGGCAAAAAGAAAAATGAACTTAAAAAAAAAAGCCCCAAGTTTCTGATCCGAAAGTAAATTAGAAGAGATTTAAATATAATTGTAGAGTTGGAAGGGACCACAAGGGTCATCCAGTCTAACCACCTTGCAAGGCAGAAATCTTTTGCCCAATGTGGGGCTCGAACCCACAAACCTGAGATTAAGTGTCTCATGCTCTACTGACTGAGCTGTCCTGCATCCTGGAGAGTTTGTAGGAGGGCTTGTCCTAAATGGCTAAAAACGTCGTGAACCTAGAAAGCTGCTTTATACTGAGTAAGACCACAGCCAATCTAGCTCAGTATTGTCAGCACTGGGAGTGAGGAACCTCTGGCATGCTAGACCTCCCCATTTGGTCTGCCAGGATACCTGCCCTACACATATGATTTCAGGTATGGGGGCAGGAAGAATCCTGGCTCAGACTTCCTGGAGGCGGCGCGAAACGGCAATGGCGGTCCTCTTCGGTCTCTGAAGAGGGGCTCCGCAGAAAAGGGTCGTCCGCTGCGGCACAGCGGTGACCCATTAAGAAAAACCACGGGCAGAGTGAGCCCGTGGCCGTGGGACTCGGCGGGCACCAGGAGCGACCCCAAAAACGAAGAAGGAACCCCGTAGGGGCTCCGGAAACGTGGAAGGGGAGCGGTGCTGTGAGTTCATCGCTCTTTCTGCGGGAGGCGAAGCCGCGCGGCTGCTGCTGATGAGCGCCAACCTTTCTTCTTGGAACAT